GAAGTGAGAACAAAAAAACAACAGATTGGGATTTCAAAAGGAAAAGTTCATATTCAATTTAATTTCAGGAAGAATTTTCTAAAGATGAGAGCTTATTTCATCCACCTATTTTTTCATTACACTCCGTGCTAGCTATGTGTCAGGCTCTGTGCTGAGCGTGGGTGATGGCGAATAAATCAGGCACTCTCTCAGCCTATAGTTATCATCAGCTCTATTAGCATATAATTGCCATTCTGTAGAAAAAGGCGATGTAGAGTCAGGAACAGGCTTACGTGGGAATTCTGAAGAGATGGATAAAACCCAATCTGCCCCCAGGCTGCTAGCAGTCTAATAACACTTATTTTGAGAATTGCTGCCATTTTCTGAATAATAGCTGTGTACCTGTTCCAGGCATCGTGCTATGTTTATTATGTGCTATGTAGCTAGTCCTCAGAGCGCCCCTGTGATGGAGGTTATATAATCTAATTTTCATATGAGGAACCTAAAGCCACCTGCTGGGGCACCTGGTCCAGGAGCAGAGGGCTGATGCTCGCTGATGAGCTGAGTGGGGATTTTGTATTGCACATCCTGAGTTAACAGTTGAAAAACCCCTGGTTGAACTGTTTCTCCAAAATGTCTTCTCTGCCACCATCCCACGCAGAACGTCCCCCATCTTGGCTGCCCTGCTCACCCTCCGCTGACTCATCCCCTCCCCCCGCCTCTCAGGCACAATAAATCCCTCTTTACTGAAGCTCTGAGGCCAGACGGTATTCCTAACACAACACTCTCAACATTCCTTCAAAAAAGAAGGACCTAAAAATTCTCCTGTCAGCTGCTAACAGACTACAAGGCTGTCCGTCTCCTTTCCTGCTGGAGGTATGCACGATAACGCATCCAAGGGGACAGGAAAAGAAGGTCCCGAGTCCATTCTGGAAGGAAGAGATTCCCTACCATGCTGACGTGCCCTGAACGGACCCCAGGTGTGCTGAGATGTTGAGCCCTCAGCTCTCAGGTAGCCGGGGGTCCTGGGGCAGCTGGTGTGTTCCTCAGTGAGCTGTATGTGTGTATTTCCTATGTGTGCCAGAACTTTAAAAGGACTGGGAAGCACTGCTTAAGTCATCCCATGAAACATCTGGGGCTTGTTGGTGGTGATAAGTGAGAGAACTTACCTTAAGAGACAGAAGGCAAATGGGATGACGAGAAGTCATCAGGGTAGGAGAAGTCATTAGTGACCTTGAAAGAATGAAACCCGCTGGTCTGTCTAGTGATCCAACCCTTGACTCATTAGCAAGGCCCTGTTGACAGCTGTTCTCACAGTCACAACGTGAACTTAAACATTTTGTGAGCTCAGAACTGAGTCAACTCATTCTGGATGCAAGGCTGGCTTGTCCCTTTGAACTTTATCTTTACCACGGCCATTCAATTATTTTGTGAGTTCTTATAATCCCCTGAGAAAAGAAACTGACTTCAAAAGTACAATATCTAACACTGTTTCAGATTACAATATTTTTATGAACTGTAAGAAACTTACAGTGCCTGAAAGAAACTACATAAAGAAGGTGTCAGCATTTTCAGTATAAACTCTATTTCCAAAGGTTTATGCATTCAGGAGAAATTTGCTTGAGGGGGAAACTTGGCATATGGTGTCTGAGTTCCTGACTGTCCATACCTCATTTCGTAGGTATTACAAGTGAGTCCTTCAAATTCACTGCATTCGGCATCTGTAATTTTTAGAAATAAAAAGGGGGCTTTAGTAACAGGTGATTTCTGTGTTTAATGTCAGTGCACACAATTCTTAGAGGATCAGAGAACTCAGGAATACCAGAAGTCCTGTTTTATAGCTTCTGATTATGACAGTATTGTGGAGGGAAAGAAGGGAAAAGAAAATAGTATAAAGGGACAGGTGCCAAAAAATGCTGGTGTCCTCAGGAGGGCACCAGAGTTAGACCTCCTTCGTCTTTCTTCCTACCCCAGATTTCTCCCTGCCCTATTTCCTGCCTGGTGTTACAGGCCAGGCCAACATACATGGGCTTTAGTGTCTGGGGCCTTTCCCCAGCAAAATCACTGAGAAGGTTGCCAAGAATCCTACTTTGCTTTTTGAGTCTCCATTTGAAGGGACTGGATTAACTCATAAAATACCTATAGGGGAGAGAGTTCTTAGACAAAGCCAGAAAAATATTGCCCTTGCAGGCAATGCCTATCACCAGGGCCAGAGAGATGAGATAAATGCCAGAAAAACCCTGGCGTGGGAGTCTACAGATGCGATCGATCCAAGAGGGTGGGGGAAGAGGTACCGGACAATTGTGGTTCTCGGGAACCGTGCAGATGCCGGGAATGCCAACTGTTAACTCCATCCTCAGGATGGGAGGTATGGGAACCAGCTGGAATTCAGGGCCAGCACCAGTTCCATGGGAGAAGCTGGGCGCACTGGCCAGAGGCAGGGGGCCCTTCTGTGCACTCTGAGCTCACAAGGCTGCCTCAATGGCTGCTAACAGAGCAGACCCCACTTCTGGATTTCCCTCAACTTTTTGGCAGAATCAGTATAGCTTGGTGGCTAAGAGCGTGGTCTCTGTATTTATGTAAGTCTGGATTCAAATCCAAGGCTCGCTATTTACAGCATACAGCCTTGGACAAGGTACCTTTTTGAGCCATGATTTCTCATTTGTAGATGGCAATGATAGTTCTTACCCTTTGAGGTTGAGAAGATGAAGAGATGATACAAAGAAAGCAGTGAACTCCTCGCTGCAGCCAAACTTGATGATCCATTTTCACAAAAGGAAAAGAACCCCTAATGTTGCCATGTTGAGCATTCTTTTGTTCAGAGGTAGGCATCCTGGAGATGCTGGGAGGAAATTATTATGGCAGGCAGCCTGGGGCGCGTAGGGACTGACACAGCTATTACATCCCATGAATCTTTGATCCCCATCCCTGAAGACTGGGTCGATTCCGATCCACTTACTCCTGTGTGAGACTGAAATAGTTCAGACATTTAGAATTGCCCCAAGTACAACGTACGGACATTGTTAAATATGAGGTGTGTCGTATGTCTAGGCTAACATGAAGAAGGGACACCAAATTCTGAATAAGAAGATCTTTCTTTTCTGGCATTGCCTTCCCGTGCAAACAGCTGATTATTTCTCCAAAAGGCTATTTTGTAGCAATTGAGTCGGCTTAATTGAGGAGAAAATGAATAGAGAAGATAATGAATAATCTCGGAAGCTGGTTGAGAGGAAAGCTGACCAGGTGGAGGCCCTGAAATGAATGGAACTAAAACTTAGCCCTTGTGGTTCTGGGAAAGATCTCAGACTATAGCCACGTGACTCAGGGCTCCTGGAGTCCATGATCAGTCTTTGAGATCAGATGGCGTATGAGATGGCTAAATGGCACCCTACTGGAGAAAGGGTATCTGTATCTTCCTACTAAATATCCCTTTGGAGACTGAATCCTCTCTTTTGATAGGGACTTCATCTTTCTAGCGCTTCTAAAGCCAAGGACCAAAGCTACTAGAACCTATAAAAGCTAACTCTGTACCCACCCCCACCCCTTTGTTTTCACCTTAGTATTAGGAATTTCCCAGAATTCTAGTACTCAGAGCAGAGACGTTTTGAGGAGAAAGGTAGGGGAATGGTCAAATTCTGAAGTTCAGATACTAATTGGTGAGCATCAAATGAGATTGTGTGAGGAAGGTACCTAAGGATAAACTATTTACCTGTCAGATATCTACTGAGATCTAATAAATATATCTAGTGTTTTTTATACGTCATCATTCATTATTTCTTTCATTCAGCTATCCTGCGGTGTGCTAGGGGTCATTCTAAATTCAAGAGATTCCACAGTGAACATATCTTTATTCTCACAGAAACTCTATAAGGAACCTGAGCCCTTGAGGGGTTAAGGATCTTATGTGGAGGGCTCTCACAATTAGTTATTAGCAGAGACCAGACTCCCGAGCACCACTGAAATGTTAGCTGTCGAGCCTCTTGATACGAAGATCACAACATAGTCTATTATATTCCCCACCATGCCTAACACGGTGTTAAGTTGTGCCTCTTCTCCAGTCCTAGACTGATAAGATGCTAATACAAACTTTACTAAGGCCGTTTCACTCTAAGATTATTGTGTAAACAGGAGACTTTTGGGTGACAAGCGGATCTTGGAAGCTGTCTCATTGGCTTAGATAAACTACACCACATTTCAGGAATTCTGTAATAATTTTTTCAGATATTGTATTTTTCTTGGATATAAAATGTTTTGAAGATGAGATGTAATTGGCAGAATATGTCACACATGTGGTGAAATCAGCTTGGTTTGTTTTAGGGAATAGTGGGAGCCCTGGGACAGACGAGAAATCCAAAGAGTACTGATGAGCTTTGTCGTTACGTGAAGGTAGATGGAAAGACAGAAAGTGGCCCTATGACCTTCTCTGTGAGACCTCAGATAGCAGTTGAGTCATAGGAAGCCCACATGATAAGTGATGTACCTTTGGGGATGACCCTTATAGTATGTGAATTACTTGTCCTCACAGTCAAATGGAGAGGCCAGAGACTTAGTTAACTGCTGGCGGATGGTAATTCACGTAAGAGATGCACAGCTGCCTTTGTTAGGACATCACTTCAATTTGTTACGTGTGCTCATTACTCATCTTATTTCGGTTAATAAATGTTACCTAATTGATTGAAGTCATATGATTCCCAATTGAAATAAGGGTGATCAAAGATAATTTTTGGTCTCCAGTGACCGTTCTTTTACCCTTATAACTCTAGAGAACCATGTACTTTGTATGTACACGTGACTCTTGCTGCCAGTAATGGCTAACCTTCTTACTCCGTATTATGTTAAGGGAATATTTCCGTGTTCAATTAGATGTCTGTTTCATGCCACTCCCTGGAAATCTACTACACCCTTACGAGTATTTCTTCCTTCTAGATATCCCCTTTCCTCCAGACCAGATCCAAATGCCCATGATCCTTTTCTCCTTTTCCGTGAGCAGTCTCTAATTCTCACTGTGTTACTCTGTCTAGAAACGAACTGCCAGATGAGGACACTGGACAGTGGGATTGGAACCTTCCCGCTCCCAGACTCAGGAAACCGCTCAGCGGGACGGCACCTGTGCCAAGCTGACTCCCCCGATGACACTGAGCCCCTCCTGTCTCTCCAGCCAGCCCTTTGTGCAGCTTCTTCCATAAGAGCCCAGACCCTTGAACGAGAAGTGCCTTCCTCTGCAGACAGCCGGGGATCTAAAGACAACGCCATTGTTCATTCCACATCCGACCCCATCATGACTGCCAGAGGGATGCGACCTCTTCAGAGTCGCCTCCCCAAGCCAGCCTCCTCAGGTAAAATGCCTGTTACCTTCCAGATGAGATTGTTTGCTCACTAGAATCATGCACTTGCTGACAAAAATGGAGAACAGGCAGCAGAAAAGATTTCCACCAGGAGGTCAGTCAGTGACCTCTGCCCAGTGGAAATGTAGATGCATGAAATCCCTTTATGTCCTCAACCAAAACATAAAAAGAAAACAAGTATTAAACATCATCTACTCTCAGTATTATTTAAGGAGTGTACACACACATAAAGGAAACAAGCACGTTGTTAGCACAGGTAGATGGATATATAAATTGATAAAGAAAAAAACCATACAACGTGGACTTCAGATTTTGTCTTTTAAAACTTAACTCTGAGTATAGACCAGAGTATAACTCTGAGTATAGACATAAATTTAGCTGAAATGTTGTTTGCCCTCTCACAGAAACATATGTCTTCTGACATATTCCTATCCCGTTCAAATGTATTTATATGTTGAGCTATAAAAAACGTAGTTTGATATATTAGCGGTAGATTGTCTGTTAACTACAACGGGATGGAGGGAGCCTTCCCACTGAGAAGTACCATCCTTTGCCGTAGTCAGTGGAAACAAGCTTTCATGATTAAAGATAGGGCCAGGCTAAGGGTCAAAGTTTTTTCACTGTTCCCTCAAGATTAAAAATATTTATTGCAGCTCGGGATGACACTAAATAACTTTTAACTTGTGCGCCTCATGGTGCGTTTATGACATGCATAAGCACATGAACTAGAATTCTAAAGACTTTCATTTATGATTGGATGGTGAGAAAGCAACCACAAGTAGAGATTATACCATGGGCTTCCGAGAAATTAGAAGGCTTTTCATTAAACATCTGTGAGTCAGTGTGATTGGGTTATTCCCACGGCTGAGTTCTTCCTCCATACAGTAGTACTGACTGCCATGAATGTTTCATCACAAACTTCTGCTTATTTCAAGCCAAGGCTACATTTGAAAACGCTGGGACATATATTATTTTTGAAATAAATGTACTGTTAATGAATGACACAGCCTCCGGAGATTCCGGGGCGAAATTGTAGTTATAGATTATGTGCTCCATGCCTGACTAGTCACATGTGTGACCTCCATTCAGCGGCAGGCTGCCGAGCAGACTCCATGATTAAACACTGTCATTATAACAAATTGAATAGGAACTGCAAGCCTTGAATTGCTTCATAAGAAGGGGATAGGAAGGAGATTGTTCTGATCTTGCTGCTAATATTCAGTGCACCGGTTTTCTTAGTTTTGTGTCTTAGTTAGATTGTCATGAAGAGTGGTAAGAACAAGAAAGTAGTATACGGTAGACAGTGAGGTCAACACACTGCAGGACATTTTTGTGCCGTCCACCCCGAAGCTTCCTGTCTACCTTAAGATGTTGTCACTGCGGGTCAGAGGCAGGGCTGGCTTTCCAAGGCTTTTCTCTTTTCTGTGGCCATTGGTTACTCATTTTAAATATTAAGGAATGGAGATCTAGTTGGAACAAAAGGAAAGTGGGGGCTCCCCTGGTGGCGCAGTGGTTGAGAGTCCTCCTGCCGATGCGGGGGACACGGGTTCGCGCCCCGGTCCGGGAAGATCCCACATGCCGCGGAGCGGCTGGGCCCGTGAGCCATGGCCGCTGAGCCTGCGCGTCCGGAGCCTGTGCTCCGCAACGGGAGAGGCCACGACAGTGAGAGGCCCGCGTACCGCAAAAAAAAAAAAAAAAAAGAAAGAGAAAGAAAAGAAAAAAAGGAAAGTGGTTTTGAGCAGTCAATTCCTGGTTAATATATGCATTTGAATTAGTTATTTTCTTATCCCCGTATCAGAGATGGGAGGAACTGTACAGACCTCCCGGTGCTGATGAAAATACATTACCTCACTTCTGCTCACAAGCAAAATGCTGTTGAAAGGCTCTCACAGCCTGTCCTGTTGATAATCACTGAGGCTGAAGGATAATGACAGCAATTCTCCTTTCTGACATGAGGAAAGGCTACACTCTGCAGGTTAATCCACTATTATGGGTAATGCAGACATTTTCATCATTCTCTGCTAATTGCACCCTTGGCTACTTACAATGTAATCCATGGGCCAAGAGCCGCCCCTGGGAGCTTGTCGTAGATGCCAGCTCTCAGACCCTGCTCCAGACCTACCAAATCAGAACCTGCAGTGTAACAAAAGCTTGGCTGAGGTATACGCACATATGAGTTTGAGACTGCCCGGCAAGATCTTAAAGGGCCTCTGAGCAGTTTCGCAAACCACCTTATTCAGAATGACCTTCATAAGTTTCCTAGGGAAATCAGGGTTCCCTGAGCAAACATGTTTGGGAAAGGCTGTGGATTCACATCCTCCCTTTGGAAATTATGAAAATCCCCATTAGCATAATGAAGGCTCCGAGAAGTCCTCCAAAACAGAAGCGTGTTTGTTATTTGATGTATAACACTGTTTGAGGAATGATCAGCGTTTCCCAAGCAGTTTGCCCACTGAACCCTTTCTAACATGAAAAATTTGTCAACATTTTCTGGAAAAGTGGTCCAAGCACAGTTTGCATTTGGGACTCCAAGGCGGACATCCTCCAAAGATACACGTAATTACGCAGACATTTCTGTTAGCGCAGACTTGCAGGAGACAGAATGTTGGGAAACCAAGCTGTTACCATGTTTGGACCCTTCGGATTATTTCTGACTATCTCCCCTACCCTCATCCCTAAACTTGTAAAGAGTTGAAGAAAGCTGGTTGTGATTTCATATACATTTCCTCATTTAGGAAAAATCAATTCCCAAATGCAGAGTGAAGCCAAGCCAAGGCCTCAGACTTGTTCGTCATTCGAATACGCTGAAAACACGACGGCAGTGGAGAGCAAGCCACTTCTAGCCTGGGTGGGGGACGGCGCTGCTGCGGAGACCCAGGTAAGGAGAGTCGACGGGAGGGCACCCTCCACCTAATTGTCCTGAGTGTGAAAAATGACCTCCTTAACCACTTCTGTGATAGATTTTAATGTTAAGTCAGATTTGTTGTGGGATTAGTGCATAAAGACCAAGGCTCTCCTTTTTTCCTGAATTATTAAGTAACGCTGTGAGTTCTTGTAATTCAAATGATTCCATCCATCTGCACCCCAACTCTTGAGGTAAGGATGCTCTGCCCTGAGTAGACATTGTGCAACGGCCATTCACTCTCCCAAGCCCTAAGAGCACCACTTAGAATGATTCAGTGATATTTTTTCGTTATCAGTTACTTTGTCTTTTACCTTGCTCCATGAAACCAGTAAAGCAGGTGTAATTATTTTCCCTTTTGGCATGAAGAAACTAAAGCCTGGAGTGGTCAGATGACTTGCCGGGGTCAGTGAGACGTGTGTTTCTTCAATCCCCGTCATTTTTGCTGGGGATTCTTCATCCGCCCTGAGATGGCAAGCACACAGGCCTCCTGAAGTGTGATTGGACCTGGGGAGGAGCTCGGGGCTCCGGGAGTCTTGGGTCCTCCCTGGGTGCTATGTGGTAGTCCCTCCTCAGTGCCCTCCCGCTTACCTGTTCCAACTAATTACTTGGGCCGTATTCAGCCTGTTCACGATTTCTCAGCTTGCCCTTGGGCTGGTCCACTTCGGTGTCTTTGGTGGTACCTATAGTGAGAAGAGTGGGAGAAAGGACAATTAGGATCAATTACCTGAGCTTCCCGGCCCTTCCTTGGCCCTTCCTGCTTCTGCTGCCTTGGCTCTCCCAATCCCGGCATGAGGAGGCCCTATCACTATCTCTGCTAGGGTTGCTACCCAACCTTGATGATGAAATACCCAGATCAGCCCACATCTGAGATGCCTCACAGCCAGACTGGTAGAGCCTTCTTTCAGTCTTTAGCACCTCGGTATGGAAATGGTACCCTGGACAAGTAGGCGAAGCGATCCCCTGGGCCTACAGCCTTGATGTACAGCAGAGGACAGCAGCTCCAGAGATGCTGGACCACGGTCAAGGTCCAAGCAGAAGTTACTGGGACACTGACGTCAGAACTCAGCCCTCTGAATTCCATGTCCAGCACTCAGAACAAGGGTCTGAAAGGAGTAAACCGGTGTATTCTATCATGACTTAACTTTTAAGTGTTAGGGTTTTCTCAGTTTTCTCCAAAGCAGTAGTTCCCTAAACGAGCAGACATCGGGATCAGCTGGAGGGTGGCACACCTTGCTGCTCTCCACATACACCCAGTGTCCTGTTTGGTACAGATGGGGTGAGATCCGAACACTTCTAATAAATTCCCCAGTGATGACGGTGCTGCCGGTCCACAGGGCACACTTTGAGGAGCACTCTTTCAAGAACTCTGTGCTTGATTTGGGGACCAAAACATTGAGAAAATCCTAGAAGACATCCAGAGTTGGAGGGGGAAACAGTTCAGAAACAACAGGTGGCGATAGTGGCAAAGGGCTCAAGCAATTCCAAGGGGAAAAAACAGAGAAAAGCGAGAGAAAGAGAAAGGGAATTCCTCAGTGCTGGCCGGGAGGGAGCTACCCCCTCTATGTGCGATGGCAGGGCACTCCCCACCCAGCATTCATGTTCCCCGACACACACACCTCTCTGGGGTCCCCTTCATCCTCCTGCACTAGCTTTGCCCATTGGAAGTCCCGCCCTGACTTGTAAGAGTCACAACTGTGGCTTGGAGCTCACAACTCTGCTTCATTGACCGCAGGGAAGGAAAGTTTAAAGTAAGAGTGAGCTTTATATTTCCAGTTCCAAGCGCAGTGCCTGGTTCCATTTGTGTCTGTTGAATAGAGGAATGAAAAAAATGCATCTCGTCATACCCAGCATCCTGCTGGAACTCCAGACATGGGGCTCCCTTGGGACCCCTGCCGTAAACTTGTCATCCTTCACAAACATCCCCCTTGCTAGACCACCAGTACCTCCCGCATAGAGCTCTGTACCCCCAGGAACTAGAATACCACCTCGCACAGAGTGGGTACTAAGATGCTTAGCACAGAATCTTTTGAGTGGGTAGACGAATGATTCCGTGAATGAAGGAATAAAGGAAATAAGTAACTGCTTGAATTTATAACCCCGGCTACGGGGGCTTACATCCTAAAATGTGTTTTTATAATTTCCAACCAAATGGCACCCTCCCAAACAGGATTGACTTTAGAGACGCATCCCACACATCTGTGCCTGAACTCTCTGGGATCGGTGTGGAATAATCGGCTCTAACAGGGCAGTCTGCAAACATATAAAAGAGAGCCCCAAATGCTCTTGATTCTACACGCGAGAGTTGCGGTCTTAGATGTCAGTATTCCACTTGCGTGCACAGCAGGAAGAACCATCCATATGGTATCAACAACCTCCACAATTCCTGAACTTGGTGTTACTGCCACACCTGTAACATCCTCTTGGGTCAGGCTATGTGTGCATGTGAGTAAGCGGGGAGACCAAGTCCCTTGACCTGTGACCTGTTAGTAGATTCAAGGATTATGTATAACCCTATAGGCTAGCAGTTGTGTTCCTCCCTAAAGCCTCCTATCCTTTTAGGCGCTGGAATAAAATTAGGTATTGGGTAAACATTTATTCTTTTGTTCCCAAGGTTGATTATTGTCATACCCTCTGATACTTGAAAGCCAATGGTGAGATCAGCTAAATAAATAAGCCAAAAAATAAAATAAAAATAAATAAATAAGCCATTAGGCCTGGGACAGCAGCTCTAATTGGCACTTGAGAAAAATAAGGCTCCATAAAAACTGTACCAAATGCAGAGCGGGTAACTGTGGGGACTGTCCTGTGACTGGGACACAATGGCAGCGTGTGGTCAGTGGCTTCGTCAGTGCAGGTCCATATCTGCAGCTCTGGTAATTGAGCAGAATTCACCAGCTCCGCGTGAGGCAGACTGACGGACCAGGCAGACTGGGGGTGGGGCAGCGGGAATGCAATTCTGTGCACACGCCAACAGCCAGGTACGAACATCCTCACAGGATGGTCTGCCCATTTTGACTAGTGTGAATAATCTTAACGGTCTCATGTTACTCATTTAGGACAAGGTACCCAGAATGTGTGCGTACTCTGCCAGCGGTGGCAGTGGTAGTGACAGTGACCCCGACTATGGAAATAATGGTTTTGGAGCTGGAAGGGGCAAGTTAGTGAAAGCGATGAAGAGCGCCACCCCAGGTAATGCACGCCGGGGCCCCGGGACACTCGGGGCTCCTGTCTCTCGGGAAGCTGTCCATCACGCCTTTCGCTGGGCTCTGTCTCCACCCCGCTTTGATTTTACATCTCAGTTCCATGTCTCTCCCGAGATCTAATTTTCTGGTACTTATGGAAGATTGTCTACATGCATCAGTTTGCTTTCTGGTATTATCTTAATGACATTGCAGTGCAGTCTGTAAGGATTTTATTTCCAATCTGGCGTCTCCCAAAAAGTCTCCGGTGGAGTTATCTCCATAATGAAGGAATGACTATAAAGATAACTTTGTTCTTAATTACATACTTCGGCAAGTTAAGTCATCCAGTGAGCCGTGGATGGGGCGTTCCCAGGCTCTCTGCTCATATCCTGCTCTGTAACTCTGGACCTGTTACCCATGCCATTATGAGCACGTCTGTTTATACGAGGTTCAAACTTTCTCACATTATTTTTATTTGAAAGAGAATTGGCAGTAGAAAAACCATCATCCCGAGGCATTTAAAAATATATATATTCAGATGGCATCTCCTTACAGATACAAGAGGACAGATGATCCCCTAACACAAAATGTGGTCTAGGATCTGCTTTTCTTCTAATCCGCTCTAGATTATCAGACGTATTTTAATGATACAATGGAGAATCCTTCTTTTTGTGCTAATCAGCTTCTCTCAAATACTAATTTGGCAATTATGTGATGAAACCATGACTTTCCTTTTTAAAACAAGCCTGATGTGTTGCTTTTGACAAAAACGTAATCGAGCAACCCTGTGTGTTTCCGGTTTTCCAGGAGTCTTGACATTTGTGATACCTGGGGGTGAGATAGGTGTGTAAGGATAGTCATCAACCTGAGCCTCCTCTCTGTTGCTTGGATCCTGCAAGTCACCGGAGAAGCAGGACAGATGGGTGAATCCTGCAAAGGCTTACCAAGAGGGAAGTGGAGAATACCCCCTGGTGTTTTAGTTAGACTGTTGTCCTTGTTAGCTCTCGGGGCTGCGTCAGCGTCCCTCTGGTTGTGACGGATAAGGGGAAGGAGAGTTAATCATCATGGGTCCTTCCCCATGAAGACGCCTAGGCCAGGCCAGCTCCCTAGTCCAGCTCTTACCCTGAACTTAACATGGGTCCACAGTGAAGAATAACCTTACCTCATTGACCCTCAACTGCGCCTCCGGCTCTAAAACTCTATTCATTTATTGAACAAATACTTATAAAAAGCCTCCTCTGGGCTAGCTTTCCAGCAGTGAGTAAATGGACGAAGATCTCTGCCAGACAGGAAAAAAAAAATGGGTAGAATAAACTAGTAAATGTATATAGTTTGTTGAAAGGAGATATGGAAAAGACAGGTTGAGCAGGGTAGGACGGGAGAGCAGGGCTGCTCCTGAGTGGTGGTTGGGTGGGAGCGGATGTTAAAATTTAAATAGAGGGCTTCCCTGGTGGCGCAGTGGTTGAGAGTCCGCCTGCCGATGCAGGGGACACGGGTTCGTGCCCCGGTCCGGGAAGATCCCACATGCCGCGGAGCGGCTGGGCCCGTGAGCCATGGCCGCTGAGCCTGCACGTCCGGAGCCTGTGCTCCGTAACGGGAGAGGCCACAACAGTGAGAGGCCCGCGTACCGCAAAAAAAAAAAAAAAAATAGAGCAGTCAGAGCAAGGCTCCCTGAGAAGTTGGTGTTTGAGCAGAGATGCGGTGGAGGGAAGGGAGCGAGCCCCTGGAGGATACCTGGGGGGAGCGCGTGGCCTTGAGACAGCAGCAGCGGGCAGCCAGCGTGGCTGTGGT